TGTGTTGCCAACGTACAGACAAGTTCAGTTAATACGCGAAATGAGGTAAAGGATGGCGATCTGTTTCTCCTCAGAAATGGAGTATTTTGAGACAACTATGCACAAAGAAGTCGCCGGCTGGCAGGTGATGTCGACACTTAGGGAGATTTAATTGTCGAGCCGTTGCTTTAGAGGTTCTTTGCATATCAGTTAGGGATTAAAAGTCCCGCGCAATCATTACTAGTCTGTCCCTGTAGCCCGACAGCTTTTGGTTATTTCGAGAAGATAACAGCTACGCTTTGATAACCGGTACAAGTGGGTCACCTCTTAAGTGAATAATCCTTAGTGCAGTACCGGAGGATATGGTCGCAAAGAGTCCGGAAAGGACCTTTCTGAACTGCTGCATACTTGATTTCGAGGTTACGAGTAATGTCAGCGCCAGACCCTTTCCTACAAGCACTGCTTTGTCTATAGTATTCAACTTCTGATGCAGTTGTTCGACTTTGCGGTTTTTTAGGCATACGAAGGTATACTTCGCATATCGAGAACAAATATTCGGCTTTAGAGTTTGAGTCATGTCATCTTTGGGCTATTCCGACGAATTGTCTCGATACTGGCGGGCTCGGTGGTTTCTTAGACCTTTAACAGTGTTGATTGTCGAACTACCAGCTGTTTTAAGGGCTGAGGTCAAGGACTTCAAGAACCTGTTGCGTTGGGATGCCAATGGAGCTTATTCTGTGTGCGCTCAGCTACCCTCCCACGTTGAGTCATGACATTGAGGAGGCCGGCGCAAAGGCTTGCGTGATGCAGACTTTCGTAGCGCTTAGCTAACTCCCGCGTCCGATGTGCTCCGGTGAGGACGCCTCGGACCTAGCGGATGACAAAGCCGAGCAGCCCGCCTACGCGTGGCACGCGCGATCCGACTCCCAAAGCACGTGAATCAGTCTGCGCCAACATGACTCGTTTTCCACCTGGACGACATGCGCAGACTGTCACATGCAACGCTTCGGACGCCATACCCACTTTTCTCATGCTTGTGTCATGTGCCGTTGAAAGTTGTCCTGCATCCATCTTCGACCGAATAGAGTCATATGTATTCTAAGTGCGTTTGCTTTACAGGAAGGACAAAGTGTTTTAGGAGGGTCTGAACTGTGCCGTGTCACTAAACATTTTTATGAAAGCACATGACTGAGTACACCCGTACTTTGTCTAAAATGTCTGGAACTGTGTAGACAAGTGATACGGGAATGGCGAATGTGTTGGGGCTCCTGGAATTGATTTGCCAGCCCCAATGCCACAGATTCGCAAGTAACCGACTACACCGAGACGTACTTCGAAGGTTTATTCGCAGTGGTTACTGATTTGGACGGAGTGCACATTGCTCGTGGAGGGGGCGATGCTGGTAACATTTTGTACGATGGCAAGTGTCCACTGGTTGTGGTTAGTGAAATGAGAATTTGGTTGACATCACTGACGGTGCGTCGGGTCCGGATAGGTCCGCCAAGGCCGATCTGCCATGGCTGCCCGTCGACAATCTAGACATGATGACAGGGCTTGGGTGCTTGTGTCAATGGTACGAAGCATTTGGGTCTTTTGGACCACTACTTTTCCTTGGTAGTTGCTATTGAATCGACGTCGAGGATGGCTTCTCCATTCTATGCGGACGTACGCCCAGCCTGCAGATCTTCAGCGGGGTCTTCCGAGGTATAAAAACTGCTTTTAGGCTGCTTGAAGAATTTTTCAAGTTGTCATGGTAACGATGCGCAAGTCCGTCTAGTCTGCATGCATTCATGGCTAATTTGCTACAGAACAGGCGCTCTCCACCCACCTTCACGACATGGCCCTTTCTTCGCAGTTGTATTTGCCTCAGCCTGGCGTCGACATTACAGACGTCGGTTCTCTCCAGAATCATTCCCTTAATAACTTTCGTTGCTTTACTTTCATACGCGGTCCACGTGTCCGCTCCCTGCAAGGGCGTATTCAGGACGAAAGCACCGGGAATGCTCAATTTTACGCCCAAGAAGATGCCGCGACTGTTCCAGTCACAGTCCTGTAGTCAGTCACGGCTTCGCTGATTTTGGGGAACCGACTTACAATAATGTCGTCGATCTTGGTCATTCTTGAAACTACACGTAAATTTTCCTACTGGTGTTGAGCAAGCTCCATTGTAATCATCACTCGGTGCCGGCTGGTGCATATCTGCTGTCTCCACTGTACTGATTGTCAGTCCGAGGTTGGACCAGCCGGAGCCAAGGAGGTCTTTGTCCATTGTGGTTTGGTGGGCAGTTACCCAAGAACGGCAGGTCATGAATGCTTGCCTTGGAAAAATGAGGATAGCCGCATGCGGTGGATGTTGAACAGCTGTCCAACGAATCGATATTCGATCTTACTCCCAGTTGGTCCTCGCTGTAGGCTTCCATCAGCGTCGCAGAGAACATGCCTCTTTAGGTGATGGGAGCGAGTACATAGCCCGAGAATCCCGCCCAGGGTTGCATGGCATTTTCGGA